TCATTTATTATTTATTATTATTATTATTAATATTATTAATTATTGTTAGTAATTAATTATTATTATTTTTTTATTATTACTATTATTATTATTATGCAGAAGTAAATAATTTTCATGGATTACAAAATTAACGATATCTGATAAAAATTCAAAAAGCAAAGCTAATGAACAGCATTAAGAATGCTACTGGAAGCAAAGCCATGGTTTCACTTTTATCTCACAAATCTATTTTTGGGTAACTTTATTCGGCTTATTTATCAATGCAAATCTTTTGCGTCATTTTAGCAACTCTAATATCTCCTCTGTATTTCTCTGCAAAAATGTTTTTACTTGCACCGATCAGATGCCAATTCCATTGTGACGTATTATTTACAACTAAAGTGATATCATTCTTAAAAGAAATACATACTAACAAAGCATGAGAGTAGCTTTTTTCAATGTTTCACCTTCCCTTCATAACAACTTCTACAATTGCCTTCTAATCCTGATAGCACGAAGATTATCGCTATTTCAGTTACTAGTAAATATCAGTTATCTTTTTGTTTAACCATAAAGTAGTATTTTTTGTCTTAAAAAATGATAAATAATGATAATAAATAATAATTAAGCTAAATTACAACCAAATAACTTTATTAACTACTACTGTACTTTCTTGAAATTAAAATCACACTTTAATTTGATTCCGTCTTTGTAAATAATAAATTGTAGATAGCAATCACAAAGCTAATCAGTGTTAAAAAGTTTGTTCACGAACTAAACTATTTCCACAGTAACACAATTTTATTTTTATTTCCACTCCTCATTTCTTAATTTATTAATAAAGTCAGTTATTTATTCATAGCATTGTACATGTACCTTTCTGTTTATTAATCTAAGAGTATTTTCACGTTTTCACACTGATCATTCGCAATTCATTCGTTGCAATTGCCAGAGCACTCATTTCTGTAGTTGATTTCTCACTATATGCAAGCAACTTTCTGAAACTGTTCGTTATTTTCATCCTTTAAAAAGGTATGGAAAATTTCCTCAGAATGAAATACTTGCCTGAATGAGCTGTATGCAAGAAGTTATGGAACTTCGAACAGTACAGATTTATTGCTATTATTATAATAATTATTACAATAATTATTACATAATAATAATTATTATTATAACAATAAATTCTTTTGAAACAATAAATAACAAATGATTTATGATTTCATGATTTATTGTTATTAATAATAACAATAAATTCTTTATTTTATTATTATAGTATAATAATAATTAATATATATGTTAGAGTAGATTATTATCGAATTTCTGATTAGTTTTTACCAAAAGAAACTAACTGTAATGCAATTTATTGTCTTATATTTTGTCTTCCCTTTCTTCGACATTCCACCATATTATTTTCACCAATTTTATACATTGCAGATTTTGCAGGAGAGAACCCAAGAAGGGTTAGTAAACAGCCAGCCAATGTTGCAAATGTGTTCAGCACTTTTGCAGGCCTTAAGGCTCTTGCTAATCCTTCAACTTATCCTCAGTACTTCACTGTGTAGTTCTAAAAGGTACAAGAAGTACCATCACCGAAGATATGATTTAACTCTCTCCATTCGGAATCACAATGTCACAGAGGCTAAGTTTTTCCGCCTGAACGGAGTAGGAAATACTGCTGATTTCACTGTGGCACCGGGTGATGTATTCACCAAGACTTATCAGGCTGGTCTTTGCTCCATTTCATTTAATAAATATTCATTACATGAAAATCAAAAATCAAAACTCTATATATATACATATATTAGAGATTATACAATTTACAATTTATATTAGAGATTATTCAATTTGATTATACATGAATCTTAAATATGCTTATCAAATCCCTTCATTGAATGGTTATCGAACCTCGAACAGTACTTAAAATAATGATTTATCTTTATTTTAAAGAAACAGTTATGAAAAATCATGATTTGCTGAATTTATGGAAGACATCTGCTGGAATATTTATGCGCAATCTATTTGCATAACTACTTCTTTAATTGTAGGTAAGGCGAAAAGGTTTTTGGACGTTGTTCGTAGAATTCCCCGGAAATCGATACTCGAAATCTCCTAGAAAGATTATTTCTCGGGATTCTTATAATCACTGGGTTCGTGCTTTCATTTTTCCTTACTGAAATTCTTTCAGCAAAAATAATTTAAATTGCTACTGAAATCAGTTCTTCAATGAAAGAATGAATAATTCACAGTTAATCAGGCATTCGTTGAATCATAAGCCGCCTTGCTTGTTGCTTCGTATAATTTTCTGGACTAATTTTGATGAAGTTCATATTTTTCATCAAAATCATTACCTTCTACCACTTGTGCAAGATGTAGGGAATGAACATAGAAGGAGAATGATATCGGGCACATTTGTTCAAATTGGAGCAGAAAATATTTCTGGAATAATAGAAGAACAAATTAAAATTAAATGTCAAATCAAATGCTGTAAATGCATAGGATATTTTTGTTTTGCAGATGCCAAATCTGTTTTGCTAACTCATTAGTTGCATAATAATTTAGATAATGGAAGTTTATTATTATCCTGGAGCAGTTGGCTTCAGTGACTGGCATCGGGCATACGCAGATATCCAAATGGGCAGTAACAACGTATACTAAAGGTTAACTTATCTAAGTAAAGCACAATCTATTTTAAATGAAACTTTACTAATTTTTGTTCTGTTAAAAGAGTTAGAAGGTACTTTTCAAAATAGCTTGGTGACTTATGAAGATTTGTGAAAAGTTTCCAAAGTTAGCTATTATCAACTTCTCGTCCTCACATGAACAATAGTCACAAATGACTGCTGGTTTCTGATGTTCAGTTTTCAACCAAAAAATCAAGCAGAAAGTACAGAAATTCTTTCCTTATGATATAATTTGATTTCTGAATGCGAAATCACTTGATAAATTGCATACTGTTTTGATAAATATGTAAGTAATGCGGAATAATCAGAAAGGACATGCGTGGGTATAAATAAGGGAAAAACTAGTTCACGCAATTTGAAACCACAGTATAACCTCACATATTCCATGAAAGCTACAGAAACTTTGAATTAAAAGGTAGAGGAATTGAACGTGGTAAACATAACTGAATAAATTGATGCACTTCGAAGTTGTCTGAGCTGATTTTTAATTTGGATGGATGAAATAATTCTGTTATGACTACCAAAATGATATTCTAGAGCAAATGTTGACATCGGACAATAATAGTGGTACTTCAGCTGTTTCTGTAGAATATCCAACAACTGCGATATCGATCGCTCATATGGAATCGAGCACTTACAATTCTTCACAGTGTGCGATTTTTTTCAAATGCGGCCGTTGCAAGCAACACATCTCGTTAGCTACTATCATTTTATAAAGTAAAATACAGTAACTTCAAACCATGTAACATAACTATAACGTCACATATGTAAAATACGTTTTGTGAGTTCATTAAAATAGATAATAGTGCTTAGGACTGCAATATATTTTAGAGATTGTAGAAACCCTCACCAAAGCCGAGTCATGGTAATCAATACTTAACTGCTCGAAGTTTATGCTGGCTATGAAATTAAATTTGCACATCAGTGTGAATCCCTTTCTATGAAATTAAATTTGCACATCAGTGTGAATCCCTTTCTAGGTGATCTTTCATCATTAAATATTTGGAAATACTGTTTGCTTCAATCCGGAAATCCATGCCAAAACATAATTCTACAGCTAGTTTCTTATTAGGTGACAATAGTCGCATTTTATCTCTTTCCTTTATTCAATCACCATTCTTTCTTCCAGCAGTAATGATTGATAATCAGAATACTAACTGACTTTAAACAATCAAATCGAAGTAATCAGAAACATTTAAGCATTAATCAACTTCATCCCATCAAATCTCTCAAACTGCATCAATGAGCTTGTTGTTATCTAATCTTACATTTACTGTTGAGGATTTCTAATTCTTATAGTTCACTAAAGTCTTCAACCAATTCTCTTAGCAACACCTCAGTTAACATAACGTGATTGATTACGTCTTCAAATAGGAAAATCACGTTCATAAAGCTTGCATCATCGACAATCTTGCTTATCAGCAAACTGTTAGAGAAATAATTTTATTGAATTTCTCGCTTGTCAATATAAGCATAGCTTGCGCTACAACTTTTTACTATTTAATTCGAATATGTACAGAATTCATGAGATAAATATCAAAGCATTTATTACCAACTACAATTTAACTAAAAAATTAGAAAGTCAAAGAAAATGAAAAGATCATAAGATAAGAAAACAAATATGGTGCATGTTCATTACCTAAATACAGAACAATGTATAAAAGAGTGGGGACGCGAGAAATGCAAACGCACGTCTGAGAACATCAAAATAAACAAAAAACATGGAGACAAAAAACATGAAATGTAATTATAAAGTCATTTTACAAAATTTTCAACACGTGGTAACTCCGAACAGTTAAAGGAGAACGACAGCAAATGTAAAGAATTTACAATAGAAAATTTTCAAGACAGAAAACTGGCTGGATTTAGAATACAGAAGCGTGAAACTTTTGCGGTAGACAAATATCACTTTTTCTTTGATTTTTAAAAAGATTTTGAACTTCTAAAAGAATTACAACAATAGTTTTGAAAAAAAAGTGATGCAATTCAACGCCATTTTTTCACCTAACTATTTAGAAACACCAGAATGTTGAATTTAACAAAAATAGAAAGATATGTTAGTCTAGTTTCGGCAACAATCCACAATCAATTCGTACTTCTGTTCTCCTTAAATTGTTTTTCGCTCGATGTTATCAAGACCAGTAGCACAGAGCGAATAATCATACAAATCTGCACACTTTTTCGCCCACTGCACTGCTTCAGCAAACGGCTGCGGCTTACATTCGCTACAAACATAGATTCCATACAATTTTATTATAATACTCTCAAATGCAGCAAAAAAACTTATCATTATTGCGTTTATTTTGTTAATAAATTTTAAGAAAAATTTTGAAAGCTTTGTTCAGAGATTATAAAAAGCATCGGCTAGCATCAACACAACGATACTATGAAAATAACAATTATACCGTTATAATTTAATATCTCAGCTTAAATTCTTTCAGATAAACTAGAAAAAATTCCAACAAAATTTCTTAATGAAAATAACACACTCTGACAAACTATAAGGTATAGAAAGCATCTATACCTGTAATAAAGTCCTGAGGTACCGTCAACAAACTTTGATAAAGCTAGAAATAATGGAGTTTGAGCGCCATCTTTCGGAGTTTTCAACAAATACCATCTTAAAAAGAAGGGACGAAACTGATATTACATTTTCTTTGCATGAGTAAAAACATTCGTATATATAATGACTTCTGAATTTATATTGGCTTTCAATCTGAATTTAGAAATTTTTGAACAAATATCAAGAAAAAAGTGAAAGTTGAACAAAATATGCGTCATTCTTTTTAATATATTGTAATACTGGAAAATTTTTTAACCTAAATGGAGCTGTAATGTAGTTAAACGGTTTCTTTGCCAAAGGTGTATAGCGCATCAGCCTTGTATTACACAGTCCAGGATGACAAGAATTTATTGTTACGTGAGATGCATCAATTGCTCGTAATCGTTTTGTTAACTCATATGCGTGCATAACCTGCAATGATTATCAATTAAAAATTAAAAACTATCTTTCATAAAAATTTTTTAAGGTCATCTGCATTACAAAAAATTGGATACCAATTACCATGGCAAGCTTCGACTTAGAATATGACTGCCTCGAGTCCCAGCCTTCCCTTCGATCAATTAATAGTAAATCAATCGGATCAGCATAAAAATGAGCTAGAGCAGAAACATTGACAATACGCGCACTAGGAGAAGCTTGAAGGAGTGGTAACAATAATTCAGTAAGTAAGAAATGCCCTGAAAGTTTAATAAGTTTAATCTAGTGACAACCAACATTTTCAAGTAATGGAGAAAATTTTTAGTTGATCAACATTTAGTAGTACTTTCAAGATTCAAGGCAAATTCAGTTCACATAAATTCGATTTCATTACTACCAAAAATTTTCGTAATTTCATATGATTTGCAGAAAATAATTAAACATGAAGAAGCAGCGTATCTCTCAGCAATCTCGTTATTTGACTAAAACATCTAATCACGTAATAAGAGGACTGAAACTCACAGAACTCAAATAGAGAGGAAGCATTAAGCAAGATATAGCAAGTTAACTCAATAAATATATCCATCATATATTTGCGATAACATTTAATTCAGATTACAGAGTAAGTTAATTTAAAAATCAAACTTTTATCTGGATAAAAAATTCATGTTTTCACCGTTTACAACTTACTTTCAAGGAATTATGAAATTCTGCAATTTTTCGATAAATTAAAAAAGTTCAAGCGTTCTAGAAACTTACCTAGGTAATTTGTTTGCCAGACTAATTCATGGCCGTCATCAGTGAGCTTAAATTTTGGATAAAGCATGATGCCTGCATTATTGACCAGAATATCTAAGCGGCTTTCATCTGTAACGTAAGCATACAATTGCTTCATAAATCCACATTCAAAATAACCAAGAATTATGAATTTATAAATAATGCCGAAACTTTCGTTGTACATGAAAAGGATTTAGAGAAAGCAATGAAAATGGTTGAAAAAAAGAAGTACCTCTGGCAATTTCTGCTGCTACCATCTTTATCGAATTAAAACAAGCAAGATCAACCACTTTGACAAGTAATCTTCCGGGATTACAACCAAGATGAAAAAAGAGATAAATATAACTCAGTACGTTGAAAATATGTTTCGAGATTGCTTTCAGCAATATGCTCAAGTAATAGTGTGCACTTTAACATTATTTCAATGTAATAATCGTACCGCCATAACGCATAATGATTGCTAGTTTTTGAATATTTACCTTCACAAGTTCAACGATAGCATCGTGCGCTCGTTGCTCACTGCGACACAACATATACACCTTAGCTCCACGATAGTTAAGCTCACGTACAATTTGTTTTCCTATACCACAGTTACAACCTGTTACAACCGCTACTAATCCTTTAGCTGACTTTCGCTCTTTGAATTGCGTTCCTTTGAAATAAAACCTAAAAATGTGGGCAATAAAATAGAAGCAATTAAACTTCTTATATTTCGCAACTAATAATTTGAAACATATCGCTTTTTTTTCATATAAAAAATGGAGGAAAATAAGCTGTTGAAGCTAATAAAATATGCAGTCCTAATCGCAATTGATGGACCTCTACAATCTATAGAAATAAATCACTACGAATGCAAACCTGCATGCAATTATTATTGGGATGATAATTAACCACTTGTTCTCAAATATACTAAACGATTCAACAAATGAAGACTCCATCATTGAAGTTCAACACTTCACTTCACCTGGAATATACATAACGCTTATAGGATGTAAAATTTAACGTTAATTTTGTAAAGAATAAGAAAAATCAACAGCCATTCTGTCGACATTTTTTAGTAAAAAAGTAAAAGTACTCATTACATTGTATTTAAAAATAACACAATTTTCTGAAAGTACAAAGTCAACATTGATTGAACATAATGGTTCAAAATGCTTTATCATATCTGGAGAAACATTTCAATATAAACAATGCTGCTGGAAATGCCTTCAGTTGTGAACTCCTGTTGAAAATAGAGAAAACCTCGGGACCAAAATTTAATTAGTTTACTAAGACTCAAGTATGATCTTACTATGATAATATATTGGTGAAATATGACTGAAAACACACCCATAAGATCAATAAAAACTAAACGGATGTAGAGACTTCTACCCCAAGGTAAACTGACCAGCCCTTCAGAAGTCAGTACAAATGTCTCAGAATATTACCAAAAATTACCTTTTTAATCTTAGCACCAGAAAAGTGAGATATTCCACAGATGCCGTCGTGCAAAGTACTAGACTTGTCCGCTGACATAAATGACTGAGTCAGACATTTCTGCAGTTTTTCACGAAATATTTTTGACCAAATGTAGACTAAATGTTCAAACACACCAAGGAAAAGTAATTAGTATTGATGAATAATACAAAACGACTAGAAAAAAAGCATAGAAATACTTACCTCCTTATATATTAGCCCAAAATGATTTATATTCTACATACTTCATTGAAATAAACAGACAGAGAACTTCACAATTACCAGTTAATCTACCTTAGCATTCCAAACACAACATTAATAGATTTCTCATTACATGAAAACTCACAACTCGACATTTTATCATGAAACTGAAATACCATCTTTACTTCATATCTGAACAGTACTGTCTCTTTGTTACATAATACAAATTACAAAGGAAACCTTACAATTTGAAATCAAAATAATCTCAGAAACTAAAATCCCAAAAGATATGTATATTCTTCAAGTAAGAAAACCAGAAAAATGAGACATATGGAACCATATGAAAACGAAGAAACCGTGACATGAGTACTGCATCTCAAACGAATCTGTGTAAGAAAGCAATATTAACAAAACAAACGACAGAAAAAATATTTCTTCGATACTTCGCTTCAACTTTTTTGTGCGAAAACACTCTTTATACTGAAGTTTAAGCAAGTCTAACACAAAATATTTTGTACGATTTGCAAAACACGAATACAAGGCATTCTTAAACAATGTGCTGTATCGTGCACCATTAAATAAATTAAGAATTTAAGTGACTTCAATCTAGTGCAGAGAAGAGAGAGAAGACTTCTCAAAACAACATGATGATGATTAAGCAAAAAATTACAATGAAATAAAAAGTCAATCTATAAAAATTTCACGCCAGTGCCACCTTTGCAGTTCATTCTTCGGATTACATTTTTTCATTAGTAAGGACTGGATAGACGTGGCTTCAGCAACTGTTATGCACAAATCGCCAACTCTTATTTGTTTGCTTTCCTAAACACGATTAAAAATTATTGTAACACATTATAAAAGTTTATCTCAGTAAAAAAAGAACGGAAAATACAAAATTTCAAGTATTACGAAACAGCATGTGACATAAAAGTACAAACGCTTCTCGTTTTATCTTCACTTCTGTTAAGTTACTACAACTTTTGAAATTTTGAAATATCAAAAAACAAAATATCGATATACAAATGAACCTCATCGTAAACGAAAGGTCCATTAACTGTTCCTTTGATGCAGTGACCAGTTATTAAATACTCATTTTTGGGTGTTATACACCATTCTCCTTGCGTCAGCTGGCCTTCAGTATTTAATCTAATCAACTAAAAAGAACTGTCAAATACATATTTCAGATATGAAGCGGAAAGCTTTATATATGTTTAAAATAAAATCTTTGCATAAGCAAAATTTAACGTTTATTTTCATGTACTATAAAAAAGAATAATAATTTTAGTGATAACATTTTGACAAAATTCAAGATGTAAAAACTTTATGGACTATTTCATTTTGTTTACCTGATGTCCACCGAAACCATGGCACAATGATGCAGCAACAATGCCTTGTACTGGCGAGCCTAATGTATCAATACATTTTCCTGAATGTTTCAGTTAGAAATAGGCAACACTAACCATTTGGAAATATATAACTGTTCCAATAATATACTATGTTCTTTTCAGAAATTAAAATGGTAGATGCTAACAAAATGAACATGATTTAAAGGATGAAATGAATGAAACAGAGAAGCTTAATTCATTTTAAAATGTAAGAAAAATATTTCAGTAAATTAATATAGGGTAAGTAGTATCTCATAATGACCTTAAGTATTTTCTGAAAACAAATGCAAGTACTCATTTTAAAAAATAATCACATATAAAAGAAAAATACCTGTGGCGTCATTTTTAACTTCGCCCCAAACATGATTTTCCGGCAAAAGCGGATAAGACACCAGAACATCATAAGCAACTTTTTCCATATACCTCAAAATTCATGTTGTTATGAACAATAGTTTCCATACGAAAAACCCGAAAAGAATGTTGTCTAAATAATGTCAAATAGCTCCCTTACTTTTTAATAACACTTGCTACATTAAAAAAGCTGATTTGCTACTATTTTTGAATATAATAAATTCACCATTTAAACGATTTACACTGAAGTTTTTTCCTAAGTTCCATTTGTGCACTGATATTACCAGGTAATCGATGTTGTGCAGAGGGTTCTCGAATGAAATAATATTTTTCATATTCATCCATCCATGTTTTAATAACACGAACCATGTTCTAAATTAGTGGAGAACATAGAAACATGTAAGAATCACAGAATTCAAACAAGAAATAAACATGAAGTTTTCATGTAAAAAATTTACAGTTGAAATAACTGGTTTTCCAGAAAGTTTTCCAAAACCATATGGCATATGTGAGCGATATACATGACCGACGTGGGAACAAGGTATAAACAAAATTCCACCTCCACATTGCCAAATCTGTAATTTTTGTTTTGAAAAGATCAAAAAAATGAATTAACACAATATGAATTTCATTAGCTTTTTAAATATCAAAATTATAACTTTCTTATTTCAAAACCAACTTTAAAAGATAGTTCATATTGCTCACCACCCCATATTTGTAATCCTGGATCATAATAACCTAATTCTTCGAACCATTTTTTTTCAATTGCGAACAAACCACCGGCATGAGTTGGAGATCTGAAATATGTTCAACATGAGAGGATATTGCCATTTCAAATTATCAGAATTCGAATATGCGAGAAATTTTCGTACCTAAATGGTTCACTTTTGTATTTTCTTCGCGCCAAATCTTGTCCAGATATCTCGGTTTCTTTATATAGAAGCCCCCATTCAAATATACCCCTGCAACAAAAATAATTCAAAATATTTTTAAACAATGAATAGGTCACAAATAAACCAATAACTTAAAAATAGCTTGTCGTAATACTAGAAATGAATATTAAAGTATCTGATCACCGAAAATGCTTCTCCGCAGAACCGTAAACGACTCGATAAGCCCAGTTTTCGGCATCAATCCCATCTATAATTGGTACTGTCATAACTTTTCTGAAATCCATTAGATGTAAAAGAACCACTCAGTGTTATTTATCCACCTAATTTTCCAGTTTTTCTTAAATCAACTTCGAAAAATGGGTTAATTTTCTATCTTATACACAACAATAAATGAATTCTAATTATGTAAATACTTATTCATGCTGGAGGCAGCTAAAATTATTAAAATCTGAAAAACTAAAACTTATAATGATTTATTTACGATAACTGAAAAGAATTTGGAATAAAAGCATCAAGTGAAGCACAGAAAAATTTGTTCAAAATGTTATATTTGACTCTTACACGTGCGAAAAATAATAAATCCTAAAAATGTGGCCATAATTTTTCAAACTTTCTATGATCAATTTCAGAAAATCTCTTATTATTATACTATTCAAGTACTTGAAAACCTATAAATTCGTAGTAGTGCAAAAATTATTAAAACTTTTTATTCGAACAATTAGAACAACAAATTTAAGCAACAAATTTGCAAGGTACCTATTATGACGTATAGGCGCTAGCAATGGAGGCAACCAATTAATGTTTACTTCACAGTGTGCATCTAAAAATATAACGACATCACCAACTGCTTGTTTTGCTCCTGTACTTCGCGTGCGAATAAGCCCTTCACGCTCAAGATTTCGTATCAGTTTTACTTTTCCATTGAACTGCTTTATATGATTCTCCAAGGGAGCTTTAAGATGCTCTAAAAATTCTAGATAATTTTTATGATTGAACTTTAAGATACTTAATAAAAATGGTTTAGCATAATTTTTTTTTAAACATAATACGTGCTAGTTTAGTGCCCTAATTGAGATGCTTTGAACTCCGATATTACGCTACTGTTAACGCCATTAAAAGTTTGAAACAGAACATTAAAAGATCACGATCATGAGAAGTAAAGCGATGAGATATAATCTATAAATTGAATGACTTATAATGGAAATTGTCCGAGCAAGGCTTTTCAGTCAATTTCTTATGAAAGTTATGTTAACCAGTAGATATGAATTTTATAGAAGTTCATAATTTTCAGGCCGATATTTCTTTTAAAAGTCATTACATTTATTGCTCTCAATAAATTATTGATAAAAACGAATTTCAAACAAGTAAAATGATACTTATGAAAAAGTTGCGAAGAAAAGATAATTAGAAGATATAAAAATCAAATAGATAATTAAACGAGTTAATCAAAGAAAGCTATTCTCTAGTCAAATTTTTTAGCTTCTTTCTTTGAATTCAAGCAACTTTATCAAGTCGAAAGTAATTACGAAGCATTTAAAAACCGATAAAACTTTGCAATTTATTAAATGGATTTTGGAAAAAATTAAATTAGAAGAAATAAGATGGAAAAAGTTAATTAAACTTTCATAATCACATAGTTTTTAATGTAATGTAAATATCCAAATTTTAAAGACCAAGAAAAATAAAAGTGTGTCAAAGCTCTCCAAAAAATTCGGAAAGAGTATATAATCTAGACTTCGTGGCGCTAAATGAAAAAAAAAAAACCTTTATTACTGTAGTCATCAACCATGATGATTTCCTTAAGCAGATGTGGCGGAGAACGTAATAAGACGGAATGAACAGTGCGAAGTAATGGTGTCCATCCTTCATTATGAAATGCAATAATAACACTAACAGTAGGCAAATCTTCAGGGTAATGCCAATATTTACACCTAGAAAAGAAGTACTTCAATTCAAAAATCATGAACGAATTGCACTGAAAATTAATCTTAATTACATTGGCTCAACTGCATGTATTTAGAATGAAAAAGTTTGATGAAAGTATTGAAAGTGAAAGTTTCTACTAAAAAAAGTAAATGAATTTCATGAAACGCAGAGTTTCTTTACCCAATGCAAAAATCACAAGGTAAATTAGATCACTTACTCATTAATCCGAACATCAGGAACACTTCTATTTAAAGAAATCATGTCACTAACATAAGTGTTGAAACCATACTCATTTATTGATCGCCTAACTTCGGGCAAATTTTTATCAACTACGACTGGTTGACCTTCTTCTCCTATAAATCGCTTTTTATGGATTCTAAAATAATTTTTGAAAAAAATTTAGCATTAATACAATAATGTTTAAACATTGGAGAATTAGCTTGATGATTTTAAAAATGAAAAAGCCATAATTAAGAAAATACATAAATTCGAATGCACACCATATGTTCCTGTTCGAGTTTGAGGTTGTTTTGGCTCGAAATTACCAATTATATTCAAATTAAATACTGTATCAGGATCTAAATCACCAGGTAATTCATCACTGTCGACAGGATGAATTTCATAATCTTCTCGTTTATCTTCAACTTGTAATTCCTTTCCACGATTCCCTCTTACACTAAATTTAGTCGCCCTAATAAACAATATTACTCGTGCAAAAAACTGCTAGCAAGTTACATTGCTTACTCTATGTATCTAAAAAAAATTACCCTCGATTATTTGCAATTACACGTAAGTCCAGCTTCTTGGAGTGTTCAAAGTGATTCTGAAAAAAGCAGAAAGATTTTTCATGATTCACTTCCATCCACATCAAAATCAAAATACATGATATACAAATGATTAGAATCTTGACAATCCTTTTTAATGTCTCAAACTCGAGACTATGGGATTATATTTGAACTTACTTGAAGTTGATGCCGACTGTAGGCAAGTGTAAAAATAAAGAGTATGAAACATATCACAAACAGAGATAAAGATGATCTGAAAATAGTAAAAGTTTCTTTGAAATCAAAGTGTACATCAAACTTGTGTCCCAACTTATTGACCAGTGACTAGTGGTACTATTCACATTTTTATAATGCCTATAAATCAGAAAAGTAAACTAACCGATGTCTAATAAAACGCTTCATTTTAAACCACCATCGCTTTACTGCCATAGTATGCAGCCAATTTTACATCTAGCAATACAAATTTTGGCTAGAATGATTTTCTCAAATACAATATATGCCTACCTGGAGACTATCTAAAAAATTTATTGTAAAAACTTATATAAATAATAGTTCATCTATTCAGACGTATAAAAAAGTGAAAAATATTGAGTTCATATAATACGCGAAGAGGAATCATGATGATGAAAATTGAAAAAATATTTATGGTTTCACATGAGAACAGAAAACAGATTACAACGAGTAGCAACTACAAAGTCTCGTATAAGAACCCAAATTAAAAAAAGTTGATGTACATTTAACGAAAACTTGGATGGTACATTAAGCTACTTCGGCAGAATGTTCACTTTTTGATTTTTTTTCTTCAACGTACTTTTTTATTTTCAAAAATTACTAAAGGTCTGAACAGAAATTTCAAACTTTCACATAATCAAACAGATCTCCAAAATCATTATAAAAATCAGCGTGCAAAAACTGTTGTTTGCATTTATCAGATTTTGGATCTGCCGGCCCTGACCCTTCATCGAATTCCATCACATCTGCATTTTGCAAGTCACTTCCATCCAGAACGCCACAAGCAACCACATTATTTCCAGCGGGAACAGCTCCTTTTTGAGAACCTGGCATTTTTAACTGTTTTTCAAGTTACTGCTCCAAGATTATTAGCCTGGAAATTCTTGCACAACACACTATGAGACCTATAAAATAAGCACATTACAAGAAATACACAAAATGGAAAATGTAACGAAAAACCTTTCTCCTTAAAAAATCTGAGAAAAACTGGAATATATTTGAAATAACATAAATCAACAGCCTGAATTTAAATGATTACTAAATACTAAAACACGCGAAGTGTGCAGTTCTTACTTTATTACCAGCAAAGATAACTAAAAGTCAAAATAAAGCAGTTCGCTCTTGCAGGGAGTTGACATTAGTCAATAATATAACTCATCCAAAAATTGAAAAAACTGCAAAATGCATCAGAACACACAGCAACAGATAGATTCATAGTGCAATTGTAAGAGGAGTGAACTATTTCCTTTACAGCGATGATTTCGTTTAGTTTTCAGAGATAAGAGATCGATCGTTAGATAAAATTATACTGAATTAAACCCAAAATAGATTGTAATCACAGCCCCAGATCGCATCATAATGCAACGAAAACTTTTGTTCATTATAATAATTCATTTTAAAAATTTATCATAACAAAACAAAGACATCATCCCACTAATTCGTTATTCGTTGGCACGCACTCTCGCTAATTGCAAGCATTCATGCACAAGCGAAGGTTATTCAAATATCTTAGGTTTATTTCTGAACTTCCATAAATATACCACGTCACAACCAGATGCGGACTAAAAGAGGTTGAACATAAAGGAATACAAAAAAGTACACAACACCAAACATATTAAGTCCATACAATAAGAATGCATACTTTACTATTTGCATTTACTTGGGAAACTACTCCTTAAGACATCTGCAACCTGTTGCTGAATATATATATGAACTGAAAGATTTCCCAGATTTCCCAGAGGTAATCATATCGGTATTAGTAAACACAGACTCAGCGAAAGTGAACAATCTTATCACCCATGCTTCATTTTTTCATCGTTTAGTTTCTTCAGCTTCTGAAGCAGCAATGACGTCACTCTTAATTAATTTAGAACTGGTTTTATCTAATTTCGAACTTCTATTTTATGAAATCAATCCACAGAATTTAATTTCAGAGTATCATAAATTTAGTAGCATAATTGACGGCTTCTGGTATTTAAATAAACTATTCTCCAAAAAATTTGGACGATTTTGAGACTTTAATGGCAGACTCTAAGACCCTTTGCAAGAAATTTAAGAAATACTTATTGTTTTCTAAACTGCGAAGAAAATTCACTTTTTCTAATGTATAATTTTTCAGAACTAAAAATATACTGAAGCCAATGCTTACTTCATCTTTTATTCTGCTTAAGCATAACAGATACAAAAGGATTACCTTTGCGCTCTTATAATTTTTTAGATTTTATTTTATCTCTAACATCATTCTTGATAAGATGTAAAGATCTCATTTACGTGCTGGAATATGTTGTTTCCTTTGCAACTATATCTGGTAATCATAACTAAGTCTAGTATCTTTGCGTATATAACAGCAAATACATTATGAGATCCGTACCGACATACTTCCAGCAAAATTCCAACAACTTTGAGAATACTCCAAAACTTAGTATTGTTTTGATTTTTATTAAAATCTTCAGCCAGAAGTAAAAAAATAAAAAATAAAAACAAACTCACAGAAAATATTCAACGGCGAGCAAGCTGAAAAAAAAATCATTATTAGCCATTTAGATAAAGCAACATACAATGTTTACATAATTCTGAAAAACTTATAAAATTAATTAAACGAATAAGTAATTTTTGAATTCATTAAGGCAAAGAGAACTTGAGTATTATTTAAAAATAAATACAAATTTATAAAATCTATATGCTAAATAGATGCCCTGCTCGAACATTTGAACGCGATCAGACGCATTCCCTGTCTATTCCTTAGTGATAACACAACTCTAGAAGATAAGAAGTACATGTATTAAAAGATTCTAAAACAGTAATCTGTGAATTTGGATAAATTCTCAATAAGGAGATTGAACTTTACCATTTGAGCATACTCATCATTTGATGACTTCAAAAGTAAATCAATATCCATATCTACTACTTCAGTTTCCAAAAGAGGCATGTTGAAATAGTTATTTCGGCACATAGGTGCTTCTCTTTTCCATCCACGTTCACCTTAAAATAATGTTTAATCAGCTAAAATTAGATTTTAATGATTTTTTTTCCGCTATGACATAAAATTTTTTTCAAAATTATTTTTTGATTTATTATTGTAAGTTTATTTTGTTGTTTGGATTTCTTAGACTTTCAATCATTTGAGAAGTACGCATGTAAAATATGCATTCAAGAAACGATCTTAGTGCTTCATAGAAGAAATGCAAAAAGATACATAAGTGATCATAACGTACTCATACTCGGAGCAGAGTATAAAATCGTATTTTAAAAAAATGAAACTGCAAAATCTAAATAATTTTAGAGTGAAAAAAACAAACAAACGAAGATCATAAGTATATTTTACTAAAATAAAACTTCTCGGAACAATATAATTTTTTCTTCACATTGCGATTTACACAATAATAAATCTTGAAATCACAAAACACTCCTTTAATTTCCACAAAATAGCTAAATTAATTAAAAATTGCATGACTGCGTGTTCCATGCACAAAAAATAAGAACTATAAGTCACTAGCATTTTACTGATATTTTTACTGCTACAATAATTTGTTGATCAAAACATTGTATCAAGCTCACCAGATGTCAGGCCACCAACAATTTTGGATGAGTACAAAAGTTTTTTTGAATGTTTTGCTTTCAGATAATCAGTCCATAGCACGAAAACAATATCAGATGTAACCATTCCACCCACATGGGCACGTAAAAAGCGCAGAAGCAGAATACCGTCTGGATGAACAACTTCGCTGATGAAGTTATATACAAGGTCATCGTTTTTTTCTGAAATGTGCTGTAGTCTAGTGTCTCACAAACAAAAGCAACAGATGACAATGAAAAAAAAACATTCAGAATAAAAATCTAAAAAGTTATCAGTCTTAAAATAATCCAAGTAATGAGGTTACGTGACATCATAACTCGGCATATTCTGTTTTAGAATAAAGTTCCTGGAAACAATGAAAGTACTACACAATTTCTAATCTCAGTCTTCATATTCCACATCCTTACATATTACTGGCTGTAACTCCAAATAACAAATAGTAGCAGTTCATATCGCATCTGTGACACATTTGCAAATAATGAAATATCACCTGCAATCATAACCAATTGTTCATTCTGCACAGTCGTTTTGTGTCCCTCTATTTTATCATTTTCAATATCTTCACTGTCGTTACAATCAGCACTTGCACATAAACGACGCCTGAAACATTTTTTATCTAAATGATCATTTTAAATTTAAGGACAAGATTGACTATCTGATGTGAATTCAAATATCTCACCTTACTTTAGAATGAAATGAAGAACTTGCTTCTGTGGACAAACAAACTTCTGACTTTACCTTCCCATGCAATTTACCACCTGAATGACTATGTTTTTATATCTTAAATATGCATATAAAAAAGTAAGACCCTTAAATTTGATATGAAATTATAAAGAAAATCTCACCATAACTTCTAAATATACTGAAAATGGAAAATACTAATCGTAACAAATAAGAAACTATGAAAAAAATTCATCAACAAGATACAAAAAAGTTAGGCATGTCCAGATGAAAAGCTTAGTTCATAAAAAATTTGCCACCAAAATATTAAAAAGTTCACTTAACAGACTATAACAGAATGCAAGAATCATGGAAAATTGTACATCCTTTTATCAATCAGTACATGTAATTTAGTGAGCCCTTGCTTCGCAATAAAATGCAGGCAAAAATTTTTCTGAATCTAAATTCTATATCATGAATATTAGGATAACAGAAAAATTTCTTAAAATGATGCAATCTTTGCTTAAAAATATTTATAAATAGACAAGAAAATCAGGATAAAACAAGCCCGACACTACTAAATCTAACTTTTTGTCAAAAACTCTAGAATATGCACTACTCTCTAATGATGATCATTGCGTATCTAATAGTCACATTACTAACTTCTCAAATCAGTGAATTACCCAATGATTTTAAGACATTATATCAAATACTTGATCTAATGAACTTGATGAAAATTTACCATTATCGAAGAAGAAATCACCAAATAAATCTTCTGGAAAAGCAAACGCCTGTAATATCAAAGTTGAACTTCATTAGCAACAATTTATACAAGAAACCTAGTTTAAATTCCCGACTAAACGCTCCTCATAATTTAATAAAAAATTCAGCTCATAACAGAGCTAATCTGAAGGATTGTGCACGGTAACCATGCAAATTTTTCAATAACAGAAGTTTGATACCAATTTTTCGAAACAGTATAGTTGAGTTGTAAATATCTGGACTCAATAATAAACGTAATAAATTTAATTATCGTTTTCCAAGACAAGAGCACACGTTTTTCCTTTATTTATGAGGAATGTGTCCAAGAAATACCGATTGTACTCATCTTAATGTCTATGAATTATATCGTCAGCATAAAAATAATGTAATGTGATCCACCAAACCTTAAGATAATTTAATACTGAACGCTTTCGGAATACTGGTACTGATAATGCACTGATTACATGAAATGCGCTGATGACGTTGATTACAAATAAAACCATGAGCCAAGCGGAAATCAATGCGAACACCTAACAATGATACGTTTACACAGTTAATCAATTCCTGATAAATGACAAAAATGAGAATACAGTTGTTCGAAACAATATTGTTTATTTATTTTGTAATTACTTTACAAGCAATGTGAAAAATGGGATGTACCTTTTCGTTGAGTACATTTATTGAGAGTGCACACTGAACTGTCTTTTGTTGAACATTTGCTAATTCGTACTTCTTGTAGTCGCAATATACTACACGCGGAAAATGGCCAGTATGTGTCCAATCTCGACCCCATATTAGATCTTTGATTAGCTAGAAATGAGTCTTGAAAAAAATTGATTCAAAATTCATTAAAGTAGTAAAAAGTCAGAGCTAGTTAACATTCTTCCTTTTACCAAAAAACCAATGCTACACAATTTTTTGTCAAAAAAAAACACACACACAACCAAAATTAACCATATACTTGTTTCCGTCCTTCTCTTAGAAAATTCTGAATTACGCATGGCCGTAAACAAAATGACCATTTAATAATTATATAAGCTGACTTCATAACTAGTTACCAAACAATTTTAAGAAAATTTTCATATCAATTACTTGATTTGACGAACTTCAAAAAAATTTACTGCTATTGATGAAGAAGGCAATAAATAAATCTTCTAGGAAAGCAAAGACTATATATTATAAAATTCATATTACATTAGAACGTCCAGAAATCTTTCTAGAGTTAATGACGACAACGATTAAAGATTTTTTTGACGAGAAATATTTCTATGTAATATCTCATACTTTGCTCCATTAGAAAGCTAAAAAACCTGATATCCCCAAAGAAGTGTGCCATCTCCGACAAATATGTTTACAATAAGCAGTTGTAATGCTGTGTTTGCAACGTTTGACAATTTTTGAAGAGTATAAACAAGGGACGAATACCATCCAGCACGAGTAATATGAGTGAAATTCATAAACAACGAATGCCTGATCGGATTATTCGAACACTGTGGATTATTAAGAAAAAGTATTATTAACATGGGCTGACTCTCAGATACTTGTAACTTAATAGACATATTTTTCGATCATGAATTATTTAAAAGTAATTTTTACGAGCAGCTATTAATATCATTCTTTTTAAGCCATCTTTATGATTTTTCCTTCATTAAACTTAGCAAAGACTTTCCTTGTTAATGCAGTAATTCTTCTAAAAGGCAAAAAACAAAAAGCTGAAGTCACTAACAATCCTTTTTGTCTCACATCTTAAAGTTAACCTTTGAAAGTTTACAATATTTTCAGAAAGCAAAATAAATATATTTTGCTTTCTGAAAATTTTGCACTAACAATAGCACATCAAATGGTTAACAGAAATATAATAATGATAACCTGCTCGAGATACCGAACCAAATCTTTCACGACTTTACTGCGTTCGTCTGCTACCATGTCATGCACTCGAACTGCTTCTTCTATTACTACAGCCATATCCAAATCTATAAAATGAAGAAAGTAACGTCAAAAACAGATGAAAAAGATGCTGCTTTTTTTAATACATTAAAAAAATATTTTTTGTGAATTGGGCGGCGAATATATGTTTAATTAGCTAGTACTGTCAGCCAAAGAAAAAGACAAAATGATTGTGAGCAACTGTTCTATTACTTTTACAATCAATAAAACTTACTGCTTAATTTCTGTAACCATCGCCAGAGACAATGTGGTACGTGAAATGCCAACGCCTGAGCAGCAAGAAGAAACGGTACCCACTGCAACACACCAAATAATCTCGTGAAAGCTCCTATTTCAGCTTTTCAACTTTTCTATTTCATTTCAAACAATTTTATGCAGAAGTCAAGAAGTTGATGCCTTAATTTGAATAGAATATCATACCTGATAATAATTTTCATATTTTTTTCCGACTGTAGAATCAAAAGCAGCAACATTAGTATCTTCATATTCAGGTTTCGTTAGCGAATAACGTTCAGAAATGAAACAATAGTCATGCACATAACCAATCCAGGAGTCTAAACCAGAATACGAGTTTTTTAATTCATTCAGTTTATACACTTTTGTCTTCCGATCAAAATAACTTTTTGTTGACAACACTAAATTTACAATCCCTGAACTAGCATTTTTTAGATCATATGAAATATACGAATCAAATCGTGCTAAATTCTATGAATACCTTAACTTATAATCTTGCGATCACAAGCGACAACAGTCATAATAAAGCTGATCGTAACCAATATTAACCATTATTGCCAATTCGAAGATGATAAATGAAACTTTTGAAGTACTCCATAAAAATAAAATACCAAAAATAAAGTGCATGGATAACATAACTTTACCTGAATAGTGCTGATCGATAAGACAACTAATTGGTGCACCGAAGTGTTGTTTAGTACCGATAAGTAGCGAGAAAAATGCGAATATGAGTGCCGTGAAGAAGTAATTGCAGCGATCTGAAATATCTGTTGCACGTGAACTTTTTGACTTATTTTGAATATGCATTTAATCACTTTTGGTAGTTTAACTTTCGCATCAAATGATAACCGAACCGTTCTATTTTATATTCTCGACAAATATGATCCTCCAAATGTGATACTTCAAAATGTAAAGAGATAATCAACAAGCAGAAATTAGTTCTTTTTTAGACGTGACAACAAAGTTTCACCCAGTTTGACATCATTAAAATATTATGAGGCATCTAGAAAACTGTTACTTTCTGAGAAGGCAGCAGTGAACTGAAGACAGTCATTAATTCATTTGACTGATTCTTAAAGTTTCATCTCTCACACTCTTATTACTGTCAGTAAAATATAGGAAATGTAATTCATGATGATTCATCAATAATCAAAGCTTCCCGCTAGCAACGTCAAAATTCACTTCTTGAAAAATACAGAAAAACGCAATTAACAAAATTACCCGGCAAATCGTCGAGCTGCGAGACAGTTATGCCAGAAATAAATTTGTTCAGACCAGGGATTCCGAGCAACATTCCCGCTTTGATTGAACTGTCATTAGTGGTTAATTAATCAACGGATAATAAATGGATATACAGCTTATGCAAACGAGTAAAAAAATGTTTACTTACGTACGAGAATTTTTTCACGCTTAAAATTAATGAAAAAAGCCTAATTGCGTAAGCTTGCAATTCTGTCTACAATTCAATCACCACAATTTACATAATTGTTCTAAAAAATGCCCGAATAGTTTGAAACAACATGCCTAGTGAGTCGCAAATGTCTTACACTGCGATCACACAGCAACCGATCCCTAAATCTCTTTTACTACGATTGCATTACAGTAGCGTGCTAAAGAAGACTGCGCATGCAGACTGTAGTCTGAGTACTGTAAGAGTCATTCCACTTTTTTAAAATTACTAATTGCTTTATGAGGTAAATTCTTACTTATCTATGGCCTTGACCTTACTACTTCAAATAATCAGTTCGATTTTATGAGTTATTCCAGTTCTAGCTTTGAGACATTCACTTAAACAAGCAAATATTTTTTAATTGTCTAAAAAATTCATTTTTTTTCAAAAACTAATAAACTTTTTTATTTTCTGCGAAAATTTTTTGCACGTTATAAATATTGATAACACCTAAATTTTCTGGACAAAGTTTGCATTTTACCTTTTGACCCTTCGAATTAGCTTCAAATTCGTATGCAGCTTAATTTTAAATCTGCTTCTTAAGTGCAGAGTTTAGTATTTTAAAACATATTGGCGCCTATGCTTGACAATTTCTTCCCTCTCGGACTTTTTAAAGAAGTACTCTTCCATTCACTCTCTCTCTCTGAATTATATTTGTTGAAGCTGAGCCCGTAACCTTTGAACTTTATTTTGCCTTCGAAGTGTGTCAAAGTGTAATTTCGCTACTCTCTTTGTTTTCCTTGCCTTGCACTCACTCTGCTGTCGATTTAATTCCCTGCTGTGCTTATAATTATCGCTGCTGCTAAGAGCAATGGCGTGTTTAGTTTAGTTTCTCGCGGCAGAAACAACACGCGTGCCTGCCACTCCCTCACTGTTGGCTGATGAATGAGTCACTCTGTTGTACCATCTTAGCATGCTTAGCCCCTAGTATTATGTACTCCTCCATGTTAATCTTAATCCTAAAGTCACGCTAATTGAATCTCTGACTTGTAATCCTTTACTATCAGTCAAAGTGCTCTCTAAATTGATACTACTCTCACTCATCAAGTAGATCTGTTTCACATAATTGATTCGATCAGTCATAGATTTTTTGTTCATTTTTAAATCAATAAGCATTGCCACACAAAATTCCTGTTTGCATCGTTTATGTCGCATATACTTACTACCTACCTTGTGAATGAATACCCTCGTTGAAGTTTTTATCTCTACAGTTAGTTTGTTCGTTGTAACTTATGAAAAAAATGAAAAATACAAACGATACCCTTTGACCCTCTGCTTGTAAATTATTGAAATTAAGATTTTTGCACTGATAATGTCTGGACTTGGCAAATTACGTGCATAATCAGTACTAGCAATAATAGAATTAGGAGTAAATTTGAATGTGTCGTGATTCTGTTCCGTTATCGTTAATCCGGTATAGTATAATTATGTACTCACTCTTACTGAGCTTTTTACAGTAAAGTCTTCATTTCTAACAGAATTATTCTCCGAGAAAAATGTGTGGAACACTTTGCAAGCTTATTTTATGTCTTCTTCCAGTACGTTTTTGCAAACTTGCATTTCTTTTTACGCATTTTACAGCATTAGTGAACCATGTGATAGATTCAGTGTAGTTGTTTTGATTCGTAATAAATTCATCGAAAAATTCCATAGAGAGTGTTGTTCTCAGTCAAATATTTACTTTGCTTGTTCAAAGCACTTAAATTTTGTTTGCTAAAATGATGAAAAAGCGCAAAAATATTGTAATTAGAAGCGAATTTCATACATTTTTTTTTTGCAAACTTATTAGTGAATTATTTTGTGAAAGCAATTATTTGACGTGTAAAAATTTGAAATGCATAACTTAATTGAGCCAAAGAGAATGCAAATTTAGCAGAAATGACTGCTAGTATTTCTAGTTCGAGTAGGACTATTCAAGTTTTGCTCGATTTCTTACTTTGCAAATTTGAGCTTAGTACTTTGAAAAGCAAACCTGAAATGTCATTACGTTGAGTAAAATAAAACACATTTGCAGCCATTAGCAGTGCTATTGTTCGAAGGTTGCAATATCAACTTGGCAATCAATATCGTTTTAACATTCTTAGCGTGGATTCCTGGAGTCATGCACGCTATTTACGTGTGCTTTTACTTGCATCGAGATGAGAAACTTCCAGTATCGAACTAGAGTTTACCATTTTATCTAATTTGTGGGTAATTTTGTTAATTTATTTGTTGTTTTCCGTATGTTATTCTAAAAGTCAGGATATACCTCTGTGGGTAATAGTAGTGGTAGCCTTCTTCTCAAAGATCACTATTCATCTACTCACTTTACATTCAGTAATTCTTTCAAAAACTAAAATTTGTATCTTTTGAATTTTCTGTATTTTCGTAGTTCAAAACAAAAGCCAAAAGCACTGAAAGAGAGCTACCCAATATTAGTTTCTGATTTTTCAGATAACAAGTGAACCAAGTAAAACTGAATATTAATTTAACTAATTGGATGTTAACACATCGCTTAATCTAAGGATTATCTCCGTAACATCTTTAACTCTCTTTAACAGCAACTATTTCCTTTTTGTGAACGTAATAATATTTACAGAAATTCATTACTATGTTAACTGATGCAGTCAGTCATTTCTGTAGTGTCGTTTATAACTGATTCAAACAGACTTTGCAGTCGATGCGCAGGATTGCTTTTTATTGAAAAAGTGTGAATCCTGCTTATATTTGTCAGCAGTTCATGCATTAGTATGACTCATTTCATGAACTTTTGCTATTTTCTGTACATGTTTGATACTTTGATATTTTTTCGATCTGATATCAGCAAATAAGCTTCTTCGAATTTTTCATCTTATCACTGGCATTGTTGAAGTGACGCCCATTCAGTTCCGTTTACTTCTCATTTATACAAAACAGTTTTGCTAACAAATAACAGTTAATTAATAATATCTGTCAATTTTAATTAAGTATGTACGAGTGTAATTGAATAAATATTTAATTGTATAAAAATTATCTGCATATAAATTACATCATTTCTGTATGGATATCGGTGAGTTGCGAGTGAGGACAATTTTGAATGAGATGTGCTGACCTCTCGAGTAAGATGTACTGACATCGAGGACGGTAATCTCCGAGTCTGTGTTGAAAAAAATATTATAAACAATAAATCAGTTTTATGATTATTTTTGGTTTTAGAAATTAATTGCAGAGCACACTATTCATAATACATATCAGTCGCTCATTTTTTCATATAAATATTCTTGGAAATTATTCAAAATATGGCTTCAAAGCATGTACAAATTCTATAAAAGAATGCATCTATATAATAAGCTCTAATATCCGGTGTACAGTATCATTTAATGATATGCTAGATTTTGATTAATACAAATTTACATATTCAATCCCAACAAGAGATTTTCTTTTGCTACACTGCCCTAAGGTATCTGCAATATGAATGAATCTCACCAAGCACTTTAGTATTAGCTACGGTATTCAATACTTTTTTTCCTGAATTCTCATTAGTTTGTGATTGCTACTACACGAATTAGTAATGAAGTATAAATTTACATTTCGGCCATTTTGACCTTTGCGAATAAAGAAAATACGTGGGGAAATCTAATTATTTCTGGAGAGAAGACGTAAATTGAACTAATACACTCCCTTTAATTTATATTATAGAAAAAAATTACTTGCTGAAAAGAGCTTTAAGAAAATGCTAGAGCACCAAGTCTCAACCGATATTTGTATACTTGAGCTTAGGTTTTTAATCTTAAAATTCAGTCATCAGAAGCTCAAGAAGTGCATTTAGTACATAAAGTAAGTACGTCTGTGCACAAATTTCACCACCTCTCTACTAGATATCAAGAAGAAATGACTTAGACTTGTACTATTTGCTAGCTAACATGTCTCAGTCAAGCAAATAAATGCATCCTGCATAGTGTTTCTATCTCCTTGAATCTGATTATTTGTGTTTTGACTTCAGAATTAGCAAAAAATAATTTTGATATAATTACAAGCTGAATACAGATATGTACTTAAGTGATTAGATCGGATGGTACTTTATCGAACTAAAGGTTTTTCAAAATATCACTTGTACGTGTGTTAAAAATATCATACGTGGTGCTTGTTCGCACTTCACTACTTCTGGACTGATTGAGCAGCTGGGATGTCACGAACTATTTAGCACTGAGTCTGTTTTATTACAGCAGAAAGCGGACTTTTTTTATTGTCTATACTTTGAGCATTAGATGGAACAAACTTCTTTGTTGGGCTAAATCCGAAAATTCTTAGTAGTAACAAAGTTTGCCCTTAATTTCCCTTCAAATTAAACAGCAGCTTTCTCTTTAAAAGAAATATAAAAAATTTATAATCTCATCTATACTTGCATAAATGACACATTCGTAAGTGATCCAAACGTTTGAATAATGCCAGTTTAATTTGAAATGAATTCGGGTTACTTATGCTCTTAGCTTCTTTTTTTAGGAAGGAAATGCTTGGAAATATCTGAAAAAAGAGAATGTTTCCATGAGGTCACTTTAAAAATTAAAGATCATGGGTCAAAGTACGAAGGTGACAATTTAGTAAACCCCAAAAATTATAGAAAAATATTTCATATTATCACAAAAGCAACCAAGTTTGTAGGAGTGCAGGTTTCATTAAACTATTGTGTTTTACAAGACTACAGCGATTTCAGTTCGACATAATAATAAACGATCAGAAGCTCTCTTACTAAATTAAGTCAATATTTGGGAAACCAATGACCTCAAATTATCTACTCGAATTAATCAAGATCTAAAATCACGAATAAAGTTGCTAACTACTCTTGATACTGTTTAATACTGGTTGGTATGGATACAACTTTCTCCAGAATTTTAACTGGCGAATCAGCGATTCAAGTTTAGCATTGTCAGCACATTAAATTGCGTTAGTTCTGCTAATCTTCATGCTGGACTACTTAGCATTAGCGTGTGTTTTGTGTCGGGTAGATTGCGTTTGAAATTAAAAATAGCAAAAATGTTCATTGCTTTTTCAAAAATTTGCTTCTTTCATTGCAGAAAAACTTTAGAACTTGTCATATTGGCATGCCATAGTTGTACTCATTTCTTCATGTCACATTGATGCAAGTGTCATTTTATCATAGCTTCATGTAAAAAGCATATAATTTAGGATCACAACAATATGTAAGGATTTCGTTGAAAACAGCGTCACTACATGCAATAAAATGCAATTCACTAAATTTTTATGAACATATCACAGTTATAACCAGTTTTTGTGATGCAAATTGATCCAAATACTATAATAACTGAAACCCATCCCGAAAACTGCAACTTTCAATTTTCTTTCTTATGTGATGTTAAGCTCGACTCTTTCAGTATCTTAATCCTGCATAATGGCAAAACATTATTATGTCCCAAAAATTTAAACAAAAAATATCATCTTCTTGCAGTCGTGACATATCATATTGGTAAGGATCGCACATTCGAAGGCATCTTTTGCCAACATTAAGTTTTGGCGAAGCTAAACCAAACTGCCGGCAACATAAACGATTATCGCGATTTTGAGATGCGCAATACAAAATAGCGAAGATACTTTTTATAGGACATTTCTTGGCTCGAATTATCTTCATCAACTACAAACAGTATTTATCAACTGATGTATGAATAACTTATCCTTAATCTGTTGCAGAGATTAAATTAACAAAGTATTGTATTTTTCCTTTTATCCGAAATTCATACTGTTTTCTCGTAAAAGCATTCAGAATGCTTTATAATTGACATATACATTTCATAAACTTACAAAGTTATGAAGTACTTACAGTTGAATGCGCCACACTTTGTTTTATTTCATATCTACATAAATCGTGACATTCTGGTTCGATATATAATTGACAACAGTCGTAAAATATTCGATCCGCAGTTTCTTTATGAATACATGGAATGAATTCTGAATCCAATGTGCCGCACTCCTTCAACACTTAACACAATTTTTCAAATCACCAAAAAATTGACAAACACTAATTAATCAATTCTTGCCAATTCGATTATTGAAATATTTACTTCATCATTAGGAAAGTGGTCAACTTCGGTAGTTATGTCATTCATGTCCAATTCACGGCTGTTGAAGGAACCAGAAAGTACTTCTCTCGCGTGCACAGGATTCGAAAGCACAGAATCAAGTTGCGTTTTAATACCACTGAAGCAATTCTGAGCAGCCCAAAAATGACACTAAACTTTGGTTTCTATTATGATAATTAGCTATAAAGTTAAGTCGATAAATTAAGTGAAATAATATAATTATGAATTAAGATAGTAGGGTTGTGAAAAGATGTTAACACATCTCAAATATTAAAAATTGTCAAAAATATTAACACAGCATCTGATAAGGTATGACAGAAATCTTCAAATCACTCTCAGTTTTGAACAGCGCTGAAAAGTTTTTCCACCTTATCAAAACATATATTGTAAATAGTTGGATTACAACAATGCTTGTAGTGTAGAATATTGCATCGACTTCGAAATTCGCCCAAACCATTTTCAAAAAATGCGAAAGCAATAATTTGAACTAACCAAACATGCATCATTGCATCACTTTCCATAATTTTCCTAAAAATGAAAAATAAATGAAAGGAAATTTACAAATTTCATCTTAGAGAACTAAGAGACTGAACAAATAGACTTGTTTTCTACTTTTTGTGAGGCTAAATTAACTCACAATGAATGCGATATATATCCCAACTTCATTTCATGAAATATTACTTCTTATAGATGATTTTCCATATTTATCTAATTGTATTTCAGCACGCTCTTAATTGAAAATAATTTGTATTCTTTTGAACGATATTACAGATTATTAAAAACGCGACTCGTTAAAAGCCCCTAAAGCAATTAGTACATTTGGAATATTTATCAAATCAAACCAATTAAAAATGTTACTAACATAAAGCGAATTTGTTTGAATTCTTCAATATAAATATTTAACCAAATGCAACTCAAGAATATTGAGCAGAGAATTACTGCAGTTGGTCAATTTAGAAGAAATAATAAATACACTATGATTCCATGCAATTTTGCGAACTTCAGAAATGTTTGTTTGTTCGTAAAATGTAACATAAAATTTTTTAAGGGTAGAGATAAAACGTGCACCTTTTTCTAATACTATTTGTTATAATTAATAATCAAAAATAATACGCAAACTTCGTCTGACCTTGGTGGAAACTCCATTTGACCTTGTGCTATTGAGTTCCCGTTATTTTCCATACAAAAAATTCACAATGTTGAACATCATATCTGCTATTCGCAGCAAATTCAGTCTGCTGAATTCCAATTGTTTCGCGAAAACTAGAACCAGCGTAAGAGGCATCTTCTGTTTGCTTAATCAAATTCATCAAAATAAACAGCCTGCTATCAGCTTCCAGTAAAGTAAAACTCCAAATATCAGATGTTAATTTCATACATTACAATTTCACATGAGCAAAAAATTCACAAAGCAATCCAAGTTCGGGCAAGTATTATACATGCTGATGGGACAGTATTACCTTTACTGTGAATGCTAACGTTACATTCATTTGCAATCCGATAATGCTTTCACTTTTCTGACATCAGCAAAATAATTTTCAGATACAATACCACCACCATTCTTGCGATTTCGCAAAACTTGATGCTTTATTTCTCATTTCGCCAGCAAACATATATTTGTATGAAATGAAAATTTTTAAGATTATTGTCAAGGATGTTTGTATGCAGAAAAATTATTTCCTAGTATTTGCCTGTTCATTGAACTGCAAACGGTACTGTCTCCTTGAACTTATGAATCATTTTTAACTTGTTTGCCTCACACACATCACTAAGAAATAATTTTCCCTTGCACGTTGTATTGCAATATTTTAAACAAAGAAGCAAGTGATATATTTTCACTTCTTTTAATGAGGCAAAATAATGAATGAAATATTTGACAAAAAAATTCTAAATACAGAAATAGGAATTTGAAAATGTAGGAATTATGGGCAAAAATCCAAAAACATGAAAAAGTTAAGAGGAAGACGAAAACATATGAAGTCGATGGGAATAAAACTGATCTTAAAATCGGAAAGTGAAAGATGCATATAACTTGACCGAAACCTCACTTAGCTGTTTTAAATTCAATACCTGAAAAAGATTTAATAACTCTGGTACTAACAATTAAATTAAGTCCCGAAAAAGTCAGGATCCAGTATAAAGAAATACTGATTGACATCAAGCCCATCCTTCTTCATCACTGTTTTCCATATAACTATTTCCTACATTTTCGTTTAATACTCTTTCATACTCCTCTTTTGCTTTGCTTTGCAAGTCTTCGAGATTAGCTTGCAGCTTAGCTTCTTGAACTAAAAAATCAGGTACCTCTTGGTTATTCATTTCAAGCCACTGAAAAAATAATTATTAACAATAAAGTGAAAAAGGAATAGCTTTTTGACAATAAACTTTTGCACTTTCAGTAATTCAAATTTTTTTAAAAACAATAATGTTTCCAAACTATGAGCTCCGCCATGCATAAAACATATAGAAAAATTTATTCAAGTGAATATACCCTGTAAAGAATTAACGCTAAACTCCTATCAGTACAGGGCGTGTAAAATGTTGTCGCACATCCAATATTCCCTGCACGTCCCGTACGACCTACACGATGGATATATGACATTAAATTCTCCGGTCTAGGCATTTCATAATTTATAACCTAAAAATAGTAAAAGATCAAAGAAATACGAAACTAGAAACACAAATATGTAAGGCAAACGAGTTAAAAATGATTCATAAGTTCAAGAAGACAGCTATATGTAGCGGACTGCTGCTTTATATGAACAAATGTTTAGGCCGCACGAAAACTGCAAGAAAACTGCACGAAATTTACAAACAAACATGTGATATATCTTTGATATCAAGGCCTCGAGCTGTAACATCAGTAGATACTATGATATAGCATTCACCATTTTGCAAAGCTTCAATTGCTTGTCTACGCAATGTTGTCGTGAGATTTCTTAAATATGTTGCAATATTTAAATTCTTAGAGTATTTTGAAACAAATGATTCACTTTATTATCAAGAAGACTTAGTGCTGGGTACACAATAATATAAATATACAGACCCTTGAACCGGATAGGCTTTGTAGCCTTTCAATGATAAGTAACAGGCTATAACTGTAGCAAAACGTTTCGTATTGACGTAAATAATCGTTTTCGGCAGTGGATATTCACATCCTGCAATAGGGAATCATTTCTGTAAGTGCTGATTGAGATTTATGAATGGCACATCAAAGTTGTTAATTTAAGTCTTCAATGAGCCGAACTATTAAAGACTATGTGCAAGAAGTATAATAATTTTATGTCATATAGACGATTTATTTGCTGAGAGTTTGTTCATTCCCATGTTAAACAACTCTTCAATCATACGCGAAACAATTTCAGTAGCTAAGGATACTAGTGATTATTTGCATGCTCCCGATTATAATTTCTTAAACTGGAAACTTAAGCAACAGCATGTTTACATGTGAATTTGGATTACAACAGTATCAGTATTAATTAGGTTAGTAATCTATTACCATCTCCATACATTTTTTCCATCAAATTTATCAACGCATCACGCTTCTCATGAATTTCCACCTGAAACTTCAATGAAAGCAATTTGAGATAAAATTTTTGATTCTGCGAGTGCTTTCTGTAGAGAGACCTTTCACTAAGTTGCATGTTTACAAAATTTATTCTGTTTAGAGTTTGATTAAAAGAATGATCTGAGAAGTGAAAACAAAATACTAGGAGCAGAATTTACTCAAGTCAATGATGACAAGCCATTTTGCAACTCAATAAAAGGTGTATTGATTACAAAAAAGATATCTCTATCAAAAGACGGACCCCTAAACATATAAATTTGCCTACTATGACTTTTTGATTTTTCAGAAAACTAAACTTGTGATCTGGATTAGAGTAACTGAAAACAAAAAATTACTTTTATAATTCGTTGCTCGATCATGGGATTTACTCTATTTAATGAACCAACAATAACTTTGGTAGCTTTCTCCATCATAATTATTTCCTTAAGTTTAGTTAGATCGTTACTGTCCGTAGCACTGAACAATAATTTTTGTACTCTTGGCTTCTGTAAAGATAAGAACCGAAAAATATTTGTGTCATGAATATACTTCCATTAGAGATGACAACTATTGAATTACTTAAAAATTATAGCTTTTTGTAAAAAGTCCGACAAAGAATTGCATTTTAGAAAAAAAGCACACTGCTTTTAACGTGCCAAATTTAAAGAAGAAATAGCTTGTGTGAAGCGCAGTTACCTCACGACATCTCGGCAAGAAATATTCCATCAGATCATGATAAAAACTATCTGCTTGCAATAACTTATCTGCCTCATCAAAAACCAAAAACCGCAAATGATGTAGTTTTACCTGAAACTGTTTTAATGAAGTTTTAGCTCATTAGCCATCCTACAGTGGAGACTAAAAACAGATAAATGACAAATCAAACAAATAAATTCAGAAACATCTATCCGTAATTGATATACTAAAGCTTTGTAACGACAACCGGAAAATATAGAGACAAAGCTGAGATTATACCAAACATATATTAAACCACGAAAATGGGGAGAGTTAATCCCACTGTTTATATTAAATAATTTGTGTACAATATGTGTTTGATGAAAAGAAGTTTCTAATTCTATTAATTTGCTGATGAAATAATTCTTACAATATCGTTCGTGACATAATCACAGAGTCGTCCAACAGTGGAGATGAATACATCACAGCCACTTCTAATTTGAGCAATATTTATGTTACGAGGTATTTCCCCAAAGCTCAACATAGTTACACAGTTGAGACCTGAAATCCGTATAAAAAGTAGATTTCAATTATATGTGCCATTAGTAAGAAGATCTTGAGTCAATTTTGATATACATAAAATAATTGATGAAAGCATGGTATTTCTTATATAAAAAGGAAGAGTCAGATGAATTTCATGAAACACTTCGATTTCAATGATAACACTGAAACTAAAGAAATGGTCAGCATTCCACCACGTGATTCTAAAAATTGATTAAAACTGCAAAAAGTAATGTACCAGCAGAAAAACTTTCCACATCTTCATAAAGCTGTTCAGCAAGTTCTTTAGTTGGTGCAATGATGATACAATAAGGATGCACATTCCTCTCATAAACACCTTGAATAAATATCACAGTATGAATATATAACATGAACAAAACATATATAAATCTATCTTTAATGAAATTCAACTAAAAGTGATAACTAAACGATGAAAAGCGAAAAATTCCGTAAGGCTAAATATTTACTAAAGTATATCAAAAAAGTTTCAAAAATGCAAATTCAAAAAGGGACAAAAACCGCAACAGCAACTTTTTATTTTAGAGATAATATTGATTACTGGTATCAAAAATGCAGCCGTTTTACCACTACCAGTATTAGCATGTCCAATGACATCATAACCTGAATTTTAATAAGAATCAAATTTGAGAGAAATAATCGGCATATCGTACAAAACACTTTTCTCCAAAGATAAAACAAACAAAAAATACAGTACTAATTACACTAATTACTCCCGTTCTACAAATCATTATCAATAACACCAAAAAAAATTCGAAATAAATATACCAGATTGAACCAACGAAAACGTTGCTTTCTGTATTGGTAAAGGCTTGGAATAATTCCGATTTAAGATATTTTCCATAAGCTTTGGATGCAAATTCATGTCTTCAAACGAACTAAATTAAAAAAATCAATCGAACGATACTACTGACATTCAGAAGTTAATTAAAAATAAACACTTTCAGTAATATCTTGCATTAATAGATAAAGACCTGAAACTACGGTAAAAAATGAGATTTAAATCAAAAACAAAGATTTTCAAACCATATCAGGATAGTTACAACAATAAAGAATATATAACCAAACATTAGACATAAAGCTGAATGATACTACGGAATAAATTAACAAGTCACCTCACTATAGAAGTGAATTCGCCAGGTCCTGAAATCTCAAGACTTTCGTTGAGCAAGTGATCCAAATAACAGCCAGCTTCTGGGCGTCTTTCTTTGCTAGGATATTTGTTTGATTCAACAATATAATTGCCTCGGCCTTCCCCTTCAATAACCATGCTGTGGAATGCACTTAAGAAAAGAACGAACGGTTTTCTAAGAGATTAATACATTTTCGTAGTCATATTTATTAAAACTATGATTTTTCCAAATTGAGAGAAAAGCTGAAGACTTATTGCCATAAAATATTATCACTATATGGTGAAAATTGGTACTTTTCATACACGTCTAATGAAGTGATAAAAGTTATTAAGAGTTTGAATACTTTAAAGTAATTTTTGATTACTTCTAAAATAAAAAATACCAAATTTTTGAGCATTGATGGTCGGATCTGTATTATTCAATACCCAGCGGCCACTGTCATCCTTATGGCGCCCATACTTACTTTCTGTATAAAAGTTCTAAAAACCAATTACTGCATTTCAAAACAAAACCTATAACAAAATTTGATTTCAATTGAAATATCATTCTCCTTTGTATAGCAAGCATTTGTCAACAAATCCATTCATAAGAGCTGGACGGAATATAAATCAACAATAAATTCGTAATTCCAAGACGTCTACCTGAACTTCTTTAATATGACTTTAAAGCTTGCTCTCAAAATGTTTAGATAAAAATTGAATATAATGATCAAGTTTCAAAAAAATCAAAAATTATTTATCAGTTTATTTTTTAATTTTTCTGGTGAAACGATTCACACCACTTTTAGATGAACGGAGGTTGTACGAAAAAATGTTTTGGAAAAAAATTTCACCCGAAACGCACATCTTTATTTCTTGACCGAATCACAGGGCATAACATTTTTGTCTGGAAAAACCCGACGGCTTACTTTAAATAACCGTATAAATCCTGAAACAAACTTATTCAACATCGCATACCTCTCACATTATCAACGCTCCGATTTTTCTCTTATCTCATATATATAGAAACTATACGCTTCACATAACTACAAACATGTTACACAACAGATAGACCTTCATAACTTCGCTGTTTGCAGAAGCATCGACTCGAAAAGTCTTAAACTAATAAGAATTTTTCAAAAATGCTAACAATAATAAATCAACCAAAGACTGAATACCAGTGATTCAAATTTTTAAAAAGAATACAGAAACTTCTACTCTAGGACGTTTGCTTACTTCTCTGGAATTATTTGAATAAGTCAGAAAATTCAATTAGTTGCTTCTAAAATAGACAAATCAGCTTAGTATCTACCTACATATACATGCGTTCTTTAATACATGGGAAAATACACAAGAGTACTGTAGTTGACATTAGACAAATTATACAAACTAAATTTAACTGAATCAGCACTTTGCCATTAGCAAACGTAATAAAAGCAAGCAGCATTAAATTTCTCACTACAATAAATTTTTCAGAGCATCACGAGAAATGATTAGGTACATTTTTCCAACAACTAGACATCAAATCACCATCTTGACTTAAAATTCACGATGACATATGTGGCCTTAGAATCTCATTCATTCTCCCTAGAAGGATATAAAGAGAAAAAGTCACATTTTTTCACATCTGTTCATTTCCGAACTGCATATTGAGCAGAATATTACTCTAAAAGATAAACCTGATACAATCTCAATGCAAAGTTAGAAGGAAATATTATTTACGATAACATGCGTTATGAAAATTAGATCTCACCGTAGGTGTCTGAGATGAATGCTACAACATTTAGGTGCTAAATGAATGCTTTAAGCGCTGTACCTAAAAGATAAGTGCAAGAGAAATCTTGATAAGTCAAGTCAGTTTCGCCGCAAGCATTCCACTCCCGAGATCAACAAAATGTGCACAAATTAAAGGAAATTGCAAGCATGCTCTTACGTTTAGTCGTACGGATTATCCTGAAGCAGCAGTTTGACTAAGCAGTAACTCATATCGAGGCTTACATAGTATTGGCTACTGACTAATAGTGAGAGAAAAAGATTTGTGAGAAAACCGGTATGAGTTATAGTAGTTCAACTTACTTATGGGACTAGAAACTTCGAGGCACGAAACAGTGATATGAGGAGAATTGATAGCTTAAAGCATAATATGGTTTAACTATATTAAATGAGGGCTCAAACGTGTGAGTGATGTCATTAGCACTTAATTCCGAGAGCTCTTGGATCCTAGCGATCAACATTAGACTAGTGATTGGCATTCTTCTAAAAAAATTCTTATCAGTTTATTGCTCAATACGTTATATTTGTTACTCAGTAATAAGATATCACTGTATACAGGCGACTAACTGTAATGTGACTTCGAAATTACCTATCTGTAAATGTTTGATCGATGACTTCAATAGGGATAGTAACTCATTACGATTGGATTAAACTGGAAGAAGGAAGTTAGAATGATGTAATTTGATTGTTTTAATGTTATAAGTATCTACGTCTGAACAATATTTTACAGACGAAAATTTCCGTTTTTCGCTGTTTTCACCAATAAAGAAGTCATAATCATAGCGATATCATTTCCAAGGCAGGACACGTGACTTGTGTGACGGAAGCTCTTTTCTCGTCATAAATTTCATATTTTGCTTGACAAGACAAATGTTCGGAGCCATATGTGTCACATATGTGTTGTGAAGACCGCAGAAATGCACCAGAACTATCTGTATTGCCTGCAGCTATTTTAAAGCACAGGAAGGCACACATACCCCTCATTGATACCCCAAATCTTGCAGAGATCAAAATCTCTAAGTTGCAAGAAAATGATTCTTTCTTTACGTCATAAAAAAGGTGCGAGGGAAAACACATCGACACGACTTTTCTATCAATAGTTATTGTTGCTCAAGAGGCGGTGGATGATCAGTTCTTTTGATGGGCTTCAAGTTAGCTTCTTAAATATGGATTTTTATTTTTGATAATTTGTCTGCTTTTTCTTTTTCGTAAATTTTCACCTCACTACTTATATAGTGAGTAACAGAAAATGATAGCTGGGAGCCCACCCAAGTTCACCAATTCACACAGGTGAAGTCTTACGGGCCAGAGTATGCTTAGGAACAATGTGCAGTGAGTAATGGACTGGGAGGTAATCTTAGTAAAACGATTGTGAGTCAGTACTGAAGTTCTTTCACTGCTAATTAATTGTAAAATGTGGTAGCAATTAAGTTATTCCAACTGCTGAATGAGGGGGAGTCACTGAGAGGGTATGCCAACTCTGACTGATTTAAGCCCGCGATCTCTCGATACAAATTTGAGAATGCGAGAGATAATTGTTCATGGGATAGTAATCTTTGAACAGTGATTTTTGATGGTCAGAGTTCTGTCCTGTTGTTTGACGGATATTATATGACTTGAATTGTGGCATTAATAATATGTACGCAAATCAAAAATGAATAATATTTTTAATTTATCTCCACGTTACGTGGGATGCTTTTTATCTCGGATATGCCGCAGTTTTTTCACGTTCCATTTACTAATAAAGAGATAGAAAAAGAGGCACACTAAAAAATAAAAACGCTGAAAAATTAGCGTAGCTGAAGAATAAGGAAAACTTTGAAAAATGAAAGAGAAAAACGATTAAGCGGTTCTCCGTTTATCCATTTTGAAAATAATTATGTGTATGAGGCTTTTGTCCTCTATATTATGCGTATGGTTTCTTCATTCTTCACACTCACATATCCGGACACATTCATACACTACCACACATCCATCCATCCATTCATTCTTACGTCGTCACACATTCACATCCATACATACCCACACATTCATACGCCCCCACAAACGCACGTGGATATTGCTCGTGCGAAATATATTTCCAGAATGACTTCAGCAAAAAGTTATTGCTGTACAGCAGCAGACAATGGTTGCAAGTCGTTTGATAAATATGTTTTTAGACTGACTTTAAAAGAATTACTTCTTTCTATTCTCTTGGAGTTCATTTGAGTCAGTTTTACTGATTAAAAAGTGATGTGAGACAATGAATTACGCTTAATTAAACAAGAAAAGATTTCTGACAGATTCTATAATGTCTCGAAATCTGTAAATATTGCAATTTTGTAACAAATTCTGTGAATATATGATTTAGTAATTTCCTGAAAGAACACACGATAAATTATTATTGCTACTTTTCTCGCTTTGCATTTTTCGCAAGAAATTTAATGGAAATATAATTCGGTGTTTGATTTTTTAGAATATGCAATCCATTTGTATAGAGAATATAATTCAATGTAATTAAATGCAATTATATAACTTCAATAAATTCATAAAGATAAGAAACGTATAATCGATGTTCATAAAATTTCACTTCGAATGCACGTGCAAGGATTAAGTCTGGAATTTTATGCAGCACATATCCATTTATCTTCGAGATCTAATCGTCCTAGCCTCGTTCACACCTCTATAGATCCATTAAAGGCCTTATTTTGTGAATTCTTTTTCACTCCGTACTAGTTTACCAACATAGCAGAAGAAGTAATTAATTATTCATTTTAGTGAGACTGACGGGATTATTGAAAAATACTAAGGAAAGATCACTGAAGAAATAACTCTTCCCGCCAAACAAAAGCACGGTCACATTTTACAATAATTTCCCGATGACGTTTGTTTCTTCGAAGAATTATGCAATTTAGTCTGAAATGTATTCTAAGAATATTCATTCATTCAATGCAAGAAATGAAGTAGTTCTGATTCAGACAACCAAAAATAGGTATAGGGATTTTCAGGGGAAAAATTATTTTACCATTAAATAATTTTTCATTTTTGTACTTGTAACACTGAAAATACAACACAATCAAAAGCCTAGCTTGTAAAAAATCCCATAACAGAAAAACGCAATAAAATAATGAAATACCCAAATTACTGGTGTCTATACTATATAAAACAACTTTCCATCTGAGACTCCTAAGAAATCTCAAGAAAAACAATTACTTCTTACGAGATTTCATTTCATGTTGCATGATGCGTAGCATCATGGAGCATACGACGAATGCAATATTTCTGCACATATTTTGAATTTTTTTGTAGGTTTTGTGAAATCATCTGTATTGTCATGTGAAGTAATGATTGTAGCTT